CCCTGTTGATGTTGTCTTTGCAAAATAATTGGTTATGATAATGTGTTTTACCGAGCAAGCCATTTGTGTCATTTGTGGTTTTGTTGCGCTTTGTTCTTTTCTTCAAGCAGTGTGGCTTTGACATTGGGGTATTTAATTTAACATTTTGTTAACCATCAATTGTCAAATGTAAGAGGACTGGCTCAAGAGCAGAAGCAGTATACTCAGATGGTTAATTTATTAAAAAAAAAAAGAACTGAGGCCAGTTTTACCAAAAAATACCAGCCGGCCGCCGAAATAAAATATCCAGCCGAAAAAAATAGACGCCACACAGCCACGAGTTTCACCAACAAAAAATTCCAGCCGACTTCGGACGGAAATTATTTGTCGCCGGTAGTCAGCTGATATTCTGTTACGATATCAAATTACGATATGTCAAGGAGATTAATAAATCATTTAAAGCATGTTTTCAATCAAATTGAAGCGTGATTTCTAATGCAAATGCTATATACATTTCGAAATATTATAATCGTAAATTATTACATTATTTTCAAGAGTAATAACAACAAAGTAGAACATTATAAACTTTCATATCTATATTAACATTCTGGTGCCCAGCAAAAGCCAATACAATACAAAACTACCAAATTGTAAACGTAGGCACGTCATTCATAAAGGTGACGTAAGGAAGCTTGCATTTAAGGCAAATTTAAGATGGATCTTTTTTCCTGTCAGCCTATTATATTAATTTTTACAATACCTTCAACTTGTTATGTACCTTTTTGTCTGTTTTTAGTCGCACCTTGTAGAAAATCATCGTGTAGACCGAGAACGCAATGTGTGGACCTCCAGCTATGAGGTGGGGACTAGATGAGACCCACTCCAGTGGCAGCGGAACACCTTCAATTAAGGGGGCACTGCCGACTTTTGGTCCCATTCTTTCCATGCAACGCCCATAGGGCTAATATTAAAATGTCAAAATCAAAGGGGGGCACGGTGCCCCGGTGCCCTACCCGTTCCGCCGCCTATGAGTCCCGCTCCCGACAGATCCGGGAGCCGCACCTCTTTCCTAGCTTTCAAAAGAGCGGCAAATAAGCGGTCAGCATTGCTCCCAGAGACGCCACCTGAAGCTGGACGGACGACGGACAGTTCCGCTGCCGAGCGATTGAAGTTGAACTGCGGTGCTACGAGGCGGCTTCGCGTGCACTGCATTAGCACCTTCTAGCGGGAGTAAGAGGGCTAACGAACTCGCCAAGGCCTATATATGTAAAGCATTGTGCAAAGGCGAGTGTCTTACCTTAGGAAAATACCTACCCAGATTAACTGCTGCACCGCGGTCATTGCAGGGCTGAGGGTACGTCGTTCGCTCCGCTTCGGCGAGGTGGAGGTCAGACTGCCCGGCTAGGTGGTTTTAGCCGATATGCAGGCCCCGTTTGCCGGGCCCGGTCGAGAAGAGGGAACGCCACACAGCAAAGAATATTTGCTCCGGGCCCGCTACACTGCTGCGGCTCGTAAGTCGTAACAAATTAACAATACCTGCGCTAGCGTCGTCGACCGTCGTTCGACTGCGCCCAGTACCGCTCAGTGGAGAGTCCTGCCGAACTCCTCTGCGTGTGCCCAGATCATTCGTTGCGCGCGGACACAATCGTCCGACGGAGACCGCTGTGCATTATGATCGGGTGGTTACCACCTTGGTCGCCGGCTTTCACACCCAGCCGAGCCGTCTGGCTACGCCCAAATGATCGTCTAAGCCTTTCGATTGGTTTGTAACTCGGGTCTAATATCGAAATGTTTGGGAGTTAGGACATGTTAAATCCGTGTTCATGAAAAAACATACATTATGCAACTAAAACGCTTTACTTACTTTAACTTTTCTAGGCTGATGACAAGGCATACATCTATTTCATTGCAATATTTCTAAAATGTAAATAAATCATGAGCAATGAGCATAAAAAACAACAGCGATCCACTAGAAGCTAGTGTGGAAATCCACTGACGTAGGTCGCCTCGTACTGGCGCAGCTCGTAGCTCGTCCAGCAGCGCCAGCGTCTCCCGCACCCGGCCGCCCGCCTGCACCATCAGCCGCTGGAAATTGCTGCGCTGCCGCTCCAACATTAGCTTGACCGCCTGGCCGGCCCGGCGGATGCGCGCCGTCCGACGCACGCAGTGTACGTCTTCAACAGCGCCGGGATGTCGTACGACACGACCGCGTCCACGGCGTCCACGTCAATACCGCGCGCTATAGCCTCGAGCACACCAGCGCGGCCATCTCAGCTAACGCGCGCCGCCGCCGGCACGCCGGCACTACCCCACAGAACTCAGTCACGCGCGCGCCCAGCACAGACAGCGGTAGCTCCAGCTGGTGCGCCACCTCGTTCCAGTTGACCAACACAAGCGAGCGTCGCCAGTCGGGCTGTCGGAGCAAATGGTGCATCAGCAGCGGCTTCAGCGGCTGCGGCGCCACCACGTTGAACGACTCGCTCAGCTCGGCCGGCGTGGTGAACCTGCCGACGATCTGACCGGGCAGTGCGACGGCGGCGGCCGCCGTGCCGACCACCAGCAGTCGCGGCTGGAACAGCAACATTCGCTCCAGCTTCTCCGGCCTCCGGGTTCTGTGACAGGGTGGCCAAGAATGGCAGCTTCTGAAGCGGCAGGTGAGGCGCGCAGACGGCGGCGGCCGTCAGCCGGCCGGCGGGCCGTGGCCGCCGCCACCCGCTCCACCGCTTTCAGCCAGCCCGTCTCGGCCATCTCGATCGACCGGTCGGCTTCGTCGATCACTAGGTAGCGCAGGTGCGGTAGCGAGAAGCCCTCGGCGCTGGTTATGTGATCCATCAGCCAGCCGGGAGTGCTCACCACGATCAGCCAGGGAGGCCGGGCCGCGCGGCCCCACCGCCACCAGTTGGCGCCCCCTCGTGCCACTGTGTCTCCACCCAGCAGCTGGACGCAGAGCGGCGTGTCGGCGTCGTACTGGCGGAACACGGCGGGCACCGAGCGGCCGGCCGGCGCCGAGACTCAGAGGTCGGCCGGTGGCAGTGGCGACTCTGCGGCCGCCAGCAGCTCGGGCAGCACGGTCACCTGCACCAGGAACACCTGTTCGATGCCCTCGGCGGCCAGCCGGGCGCGCAGCTCGGGGTAGAGCGCCGGCAGATTGGCCGGCGCCGGCCGCCGGTCGCCAATCGGCTGCAGGTGCGCCAGCCAGTCGGGCAGCGCACGCGGTGCACGGTCTGTCGGCTCGAGCGCTCCACCTCGTCCAGCACGGTGAAGTCGTCAGCGGCGGCGTCTCCGTCCGACTCGGAGGTGTCCTCACTGTCGTTATTGGCGACGGCGGCTGCCGCTGTGCGCTCAGTCAGGTCGGCCATCACAGCAACACTCGCCGATGATTGGCGTCATCGAAACCGTCGGACGATGGTGGATTCATCACCGTTTTTGCAGCAGAGACTGGAAAAACCTCAGCAATAAACAAGGAAAAACCTCACAACATGCCACAGCCTGCAATTGTGCATATTGTTATTATATTTCTCACATGACAGAAAATATTGGCTGCTTTATTCTAGGAACTGGCATGAAAAACATAAGCTAAAATCAAGCTAAGTGAATTATTATTGTATTTCAACATGAGACTGGGAAGAAATCCTTGTCACTGTCAACATGACCAGTGTAACGGATGGGCTGCATGAACATTTCGGCGCATGATCTGAAAACTCTGTGAGCAGAAATTTCAGCGCTGAGGTGAACAAATAACATTTTGGCCGCAATTTGCCTGGTGCCTCCACAATTTTGCAAAACTAACTCACAATACTTACAGCCAGTTTTAACATGATCCCTGCATGACTCATGCATGCAAGATACACATGCATTCAATATCAGCACAGTGCACACACAACAGTTATGGATTCATTTACATTTTACAACATTACTATTATTTTCATTTCCTTCAATATTGGCAGCATGACTTGCTGAGCTCAGTGGCACAATCTTATGACAGCAAGTTTGTTCGGGTTCGCAACCATGCAAACTTTGCACGTTTGGCTTCAAAAACAAGCCTTTATACATTTCTTTCATGCTATTCAATTTCTTTTTTTTAATTTAATGTCATTGATCTTGAAAATCTTGCCATTTTGGTCTTAGCCATGTCCATTGCACCTTCCCTTTTCCGCACAGCTCAAGTAAGTTCGGGTAGTAGTGGTATCAGTAGTTGGCGCCTTGCATTGTCAAATGTAGCTGAATATGTGAAAACAGTGACATATTTATTTAAAATCTTGAGTCCAATGAGCCTACCCTCTCTGCCTCTCATTCCAGCATTTGTTCAAGCACCTTCAATTTTCGAAAATGATCTTCCATCATTATTTTCCACTTCCGTGCGACTCGCACGAGCAATGAACTTGTAAGCTGACCACTAGTTAATAATGTGCTATCATCTTGCTGTTGGGTGCTTGTAGCAAAAAGATAATATAAACGAAAAAACTAACACCACAACACCAAACACCAGTCTTGTTGGTTCCTTTTGGTCCTGCCTGGTGACAAAGGCTCTTTCTTTACGCAATATCATCAGTATTCCTCTTCTAATCTTGAAGCCCAGATGCTTTACAAATTGGCCATGAATGATACTAAATTATTATATCAACTGGGAAGCGCAAATCACGATAATTAGTAACAAATGAGGCCAATTGTTCCAACACATCAAAAAAATAGACGGGGTCCCCCGTCTATTTTTTGGGCTGTTTTTCTACAAATAATGGCGCAAAATAACACTCCATTAATGCCGCATTTGCCGTTGGTGAAACTCATTGGCTATTTTTCTGGCTGATATTTTTTCACGCCGGCGGATATTTTTTCGCCTGGTTGGTGAAACTCGTCGGCTGGTTTTTGACAGAAAAATTGCGCCGGGCTGCTATTTTTCTGTTGGTAAAACTGGCCTCTGCACTTCCGATTGCTAATATTGAAGGTTTGCAGCTTTAGGGAGCTTTATATTTTTCTTGGTGCTAAATATATGAAATATTGTATTTTCGAAGGAATTCTGTAGTGTTACGCACCGCATGTGGACTTGAGGGGAGTTTTGTGTCATAACTTTCGAGCGCACCCTATAAGTATAGAGTCATTACCGTGCATGTCGTGCAATGCACTCCGTTAGTGAGTAGTTATCTTTCTGACGGTCTGTGGCTGGTCATGGGCTGGTCCACGAGCGCTGTAAGATGTAAGAGCCTGGTTCTGGTGAACATTAAAGCTAATTATGTGATGGAGCTGGCTCGGTTTCAGACTCTGATTAAAACTAACCCTAGCCGCCGGCTGTACCGCGCCGCCAGGAGAGGGAAAGTGGCCCAGAACTTGGCGGCGGACGGCGGCGGATGGCGGCGGCGGCGGCGGCGGCGGCGGCGGCGGCGAGCATTCTGTCCGCAGACACGACGCAGAGAGGCTGTGCTAGGAGACGCGGACAGATCCAGTAGACGGGGGAGAGTGCAGAGCTGGCGGACAGGCGTTCGTTCCAACCACGCGTCGAGCGAGAGAGCGATACAGTGACACCGAGACAGCGACTACGGCGTACGGAGAGACAGGACAGGACAGGAAGGAGTAGAGAGGACTCGAGGGACAGCCGTCGAGACTTGTTCTCCGCGGCGCAGTTGTATTCCCCGGTTCGCTGCCTTAGTTTCTGGTTGCGGAGGAAGGATTTAAGGCAGGTGAACTGCCTCGCTATCTCCTGGAGCTGTGAATTTCTGCTCTGTTAGTTGTTACCGCTCGGAGAGTCTGAGCGGCCTGTGATCAGTGGATTCCTCGGACCAGTCTATCTACTGTCGGAGGAGCACCTACGGGGTGTCATTCTGACATTCCACCAACGCCGCCTTCCTGGAGACATCTTGTTACTTCTCCCAGCAAGGTGAGTCGATTCACTAACAGGATTACGATTTATTCATTTACATGGAATGCCACCTTTGTACCTTATTAACGGCTTTTGTTGCATGTACTTCGTGTCCGTTGGCCAATCAGGTGTCTGTAACGTTGTGTGCATAACGCATTATTGCCAGTAGTTGACTTTGGTACGCAAGTACATACATGATGTAAGATGTGAAAATAGCTGATTTCATGATGCGTTATTTTCAGTTCCATTTTCATAATGCATTTATGATAACTCCTGTTCATGATACTCATACACGCAGTGTCCAAAAAATTTATTGGTTTGGGTGGGGAGCAGCAGGCAATTAAAAACCATGTTGCGCTCTCACCTCTAATTTCTAGGAACAATTATCCATTCCCAATTTTACAGAGATAGAGCATTTGCTTGGACAGTCGTTTTATATCCTACATTTTACCGTCCTGCTTTAGAAATTAATGTCATTTAACCCGCGCCCGGCTGGGGGTCCTGGATTTCCACGCCCTGCTGGGGGGGGGGGGGGTGTTTGAACACCCCCCCTTCTAACTCGGCTCCTGGGCCACGTAGCGATACGTGGAAGGCGGCGTTCGAAAGAGCGTCAAAAATAATGACGAAATCACTTCGGTCAATTTTTTGGTCAGGTCAAAGGTCAGGTCACCAGAGGTCATTGAAGGCAAAATTTCGCCGATTTCCAGGTCGAATATCGAAAATTTCCAAGAAGCCAACGCATAACTCGGGAACCAATAGAGCTACAGCGCCGCGGAAAAGCGCATTCGATAGCCCTATTAACGCCCTTTCTGAGTAATTCTCTCAGATTTGACCTAACGTCAACGGTTTTGCCTGCAGGGGGCAAAAACTGCAAAAATAGCCGATTTTTTCGGAAACGGTTTTTCTGCAATAACTTTTGACCCAAGCCTTGAACGAGCTTACTTTTACCGGCATCGTGTTCCTCTCGTCAAGACGCATCGAATGAACTATAACCTGACCTTGAAAGGTCAACTTGAAAATTTGACCTCAGGTCAAGGTCATGACCTGACCGGAGAGGGTCATGTTGCATATCAGTCGATCCGTATCGTCGAGCTGAACACATCTAAGGTGTTTTCATCGCTCTAGCATGCCTCTATCAAAAGTTATTTGCGAAAAACTGTTAGATACCATTCGTGACCTAAGATGACCTCAGGGCATAAACAGGGGTCACGGACACCATTTTCATGTTCAGTGTGTCTAAACCACTTGTAATTCAGTGTTTGGGAGTGTTTATAATGTCTTTCGTCCGAAAGAGACGCATTTCAATTTTCTCCCATTGACTTATAATGGGGAGGTCGCAAAATTGACCTGACCTTAGGTCATCGATATCAAAATTCTGAGATATACATTTTGTACATGCTATTGCTCTTAGCAATCGCTGAAAGTTTCAAAGCGATCGGTCACTCGGTGTAGCTATGACAGACATTGAAACTTTTTTATGAGGTGAGGTCACTTCAAGTGACCTGGTGACCTGACCTTGAATGACCTCGGTCTGAAATTTTCACAACATGTGTAGAATTGATGCATGATAAGGTGTACCAAAAACGGCGGCGCTCCGCGCCGCCGTTTTTGAGATATTCGCGAAAAACCACAAGGGGGGGTGTTCAAACACCCCCCCCCCAGCAGGGCGCGGGTTATTAATATTCTTTCCGCTCTTTCCGGGCCTTGTTTGACCGGCGGTTTTGCACTGGAGAGGAAGTTCCCTCTGCCACCAAAGCCAAAATGCATACAGTTTTGGGACACCCGTGCATATTGAACTTCCACCTAAATCCAACCCAACTCACGTAGTGGCGAAACTAGGAAGTTTGTTGCGCACTGCTTTACAGACTAAGTAGGACATACACTTGTCTTTCAGCATATAAACACACTTAATCGAGCATTATAGAATCGTTTGCCCACTAGAATGAGGAGAACCTCTTCAGTCTTCATCAAAAACACTTTGATTTGGTTCTTTATAGAAACGAGCTGAATCGTTTCCATTTCGTCACACTTCAAGTATGAAATTATCAATGACTGTGCCTTTGCGCAAAAACCTTAGCCTGGATTTGGGAGAAATCGATGGATGGATATGAAGAACTTAAAAAAAATATCATATAAACAATACGCTAGCACTACATAATGAATGAAATAGCACGTCATCCATCCGCTCCCAAGTTCCATCGCACGACTGATGGCATGCCGCTCCAGATCTCTAAGCCCTCCCCGATTCTCGATAACAACATCCCATCCTTTGGCCCACGTCAGGAATGATATGAGGTCTATCTCACGCCCGTTGGTAGGACGGTTCACTTTGTGTATGGTATGCGGAGGAACTCCATGGGTTTCATCTGGTAACGGGCCTATCCAGAGTTAACGCCCCTGGCCGGGCGTAATTATACGGGGCTCCGGGCTCCGGCGAACTCGCATTAGTGTTCCCGTGAAAAGCGTGGGAATACCAAGAAGTAGTTCACTAGCTACTCACCTGGGCTCAGCGCTTCTGAAAGGTATAGTTTGTTTATTATGAAGTGGTCGCTGATGAAAAAACAAGGTGTACTGAGTAAAACGCGCTTTGATCGAGATATTACGGGAAAATTGCCACCATGGCATTTACCATCAGCGATAAGAGTTAGAATTCTGGATTCATAGCACTGTTCTTCTGCTGTTAGCGCTGACTAAACTTATCATCGTGTTTCCTTATACTTTTCTTTCTAGACATGGGCAGAATCGTTGTGATATTCATGCCACTAACACCAGTCAACTTTAACCTACACCAGCGTGTCGATAATTGTAATTCATAGCCGTAGTGGAGCTCGATTAAAGCAGCATGAAAAAACACTCGGAATGTGGAGCTTGGTAGGACTAGTCGCCCCTCGGTGTTTCGTCTGATCATTATTCCTATCACGATAATCAGTGTGGTAATAAAAAGAATAAGATAACTAAGGAAGCCCTGAGGACGTTTATTGGTTAGTCCCAGTGACTACGGCCCTCTCAGATGATAGCCCAACCGCCCTATCCTTTATCAGGGATGGCTATTCTCACCCTTCCTCACATTTCTGCGTTCTGGGCTGACGGCTAACACGTCTAGAGAAGCAGCGGTGAAACTACAGCTGGGACATGCTGCTCGGGGGCGCTGGTCGACCGTCTGGGCGCCGCTGGTCGACCGTCTGGGCGCCGCTGGGTGACCTGTCCCTCGCGGGCACTCCCGTCCCAACTGGGAAAGGAGTGCCCGTCAGCCGACAAGGCGCGCCAGCTGGTGTTCGATTTAGCCTGAGGCCTCTTCCATTTCCTTTCAGATTGTAGTCAATAAAAGTTTTTCATAGACAGAAACATTTATAGCAACGCATAGTCGTTTGGCGTTAAATCCGACTCCCGTAAAGCTCGTTTGTTATGTCTATCCAGAAAAAAGAACGCGATTGTTTCTAGCCTCACAACTCTGTCAGTCGATCTTCGCTAACCCGTCTCGGAATGTTGTCATGCTCCATCAGGTGTACAAAATAATCTGTTATTTTTTTTACAATTGATGCATCCATGAGTTTAACACTAAAAGGCGCGAAACGGCAAGAAAATAGGCTAAATCAATGCTCCCGGCTTCATATTTAATCACAAACCACAAACATCAATATCTCATGATTTTATTTTGGTAACCATGGGCCGCGATGTCATGCTCTTTTGCCCTCAGCTGACCCCAGTTTCTGTCCCCAGATGCGCGCAGCTCTGTTCCTGCTGGCTGTGTCAGCCCTGGTACTCGCGGCGGTGGCTGACAGGACCTCAGCGGGGAGCGGCGCCCCTATCAGACACCGAGGCAGGGCCCTGCTGGGCAGGAGACGCAGGTGTGTACCTATCCAACGGGGTATAAGCTGCAATATTGGGCACTTACATACATAAGGCACTCCAGGCACTAGGTAAAATGAACGGCAGGGATGAGTGTTTTGATTAGATAAATGTAATCCTGCCTGTCGTATACCGTAAATTACATTTTCTCATTGATGGTATTGATGTCACTGCTAGCATTCACTCTTGTTTTGCTTCGTGTTGCTTTGGAGATGTTGGCCTGACATCTTTGAGCCCCACTTCTTTGAATTTGTCGTTTTTGAACATACTATCATGCATGCGTTAGTGAATCATCAAAGAATTAGGCATTTCGATGCTTAGAATAAGGTTTGTTTTCTAGGGCATAGTAAAGTGGATTGAATGAATCTTACATTGTGACCGTGTTAGGTACCTTAAACACGCTTCACACTGCTGGACAGCATGTATTTGCCTTGAACACAACGAACGCATTACATCCATCATTCTCTCACACATACGACTACTCTTCATAGTCATTCCGCATCTGTCAGACGTAAGAATTACTCGTCGCAGACGGTGAGGTAGTCTCCCTGGCAGAGGGCCCAGTTGATGACGTGGTGGATGTAATTCTCCTCCAGACTTCCACGCAGCAGGTGGGCGCCCGGACCGCGCGCGAAGATGCCCACGTCATCTCCGCCGTGGGTCTCCTTGGGCAGGTAGATGCCGGCGAACTGTTTGTAGTGCGGGTCGCGCCACTCGGCGTCGGGACCGGTCTCGGTGAGGGCGGCGCGCTTGGCGTCCTGCTCCTCCTTGCTGCGGGTGCCGCCCGGACCGTTGGCGTACTGCAGGATCGGGTACGGCAGGCTGGGCGGCGGACCGCCCTTCTGCATACCGCCGGCCAGGAACGAGGCGGGCCCGTACATGTCCAGGCCGCGCTCCGGGTAGCCGTTGATCTTGAAGGTGTGGGCGTGATCAGAGGAGACGACGATGAGGGTGTCCGACTCGTCGGTGTTGTCCACAGCGTACTGGACAACCTCCTCCAGCTCGATAGTCTCGTCGATGGCCGTGTACGCGTTGCCGTAGTGGTGTCCGTGGTCGATCTTGGCGCCCTCCACGAACAGCACGAAGCCGTTCGGTCCGCGCTTCAGGATCTCCAGAGCCTTCTTCACCATCTCGGTCAGGTTGACGTCCTCGGGGGTCTGGAAGGCGCGGTACTGCATGTGGCTGCGACTGAACAGACCCAGCACGTAGTCGGCAGAGGTGGCGTCGAAGTTGTTCAGCTCATCCTTGGTGGTCAGGTAGGCGTAGCTGCGTCCCAGGGAGGCCTGTTTATCCTTCCACTCCTGGATCAGGTCACGGCCATCCAGACGGGAGCCGCCCTCGACTTCCTTCGGCGTGAACTTGCCCCAGCCGCCGCCGAAGGCGACGTTGATGTCGATGCCCTCACGCTCGACGAACTGGGTGGACAGGTCCTTCATGGCGTTCTTGCACGAGTCCTTGACGGGTCCGGTCATCCATTCCATGGCGACGAAGTCGGCGTCCGACTCCCAGGTACGGTAGGCAGTGTGGCCGAAGGTGGCAGCGGGAGAGGCGTGCGTGATGCGGGCGGTGGACACCAGACCGACCCACTTACCGGCCTCCACGCCGTAGCGGAGGATCGACTTGGGCGAGGAGGCCTCGTTGACGGCATCGCAGTTCCAGATGAGGACGGAGCAGTCGACACCGACCGTGAGGAAGTTGCCCTTGGCGCCGGTCAGGTAGGCGGTGGCCGTGGAGGCGGAGTCGGCCGTCCAGCGGTCGCAGTTGTACGTCTTGGAGAGACCGGTGTACGGGAATTTCTCCCACGACAGCATGGTGTGCTCGGGAATATCAGCTCCGTGCAGCAGGCCCTTCTGCTTCCTCGCGGCGGCCAGCGTGTGGATCGACATGCCGTCACCGATGAACAGGATGGCGTTCTTGGCCTGGTGGTGATACACCTTGTCGTTCAGCTTGGTCTGGATGATCTCCTGGGCAATACTCTTCCAGAAGACAGAGTCCAGCACCTGACCAGAGCGGGAGAGCGAGGCGCCGTTGTTGAGGCCCATCTTCTCCTGGACCTCCTTGTAGGAGGAGCCCCAGATCTCGTGCATCTCGAGCTCATCCTGGTCCTCGACCTGAGAGTCGAGCGGCACAGAGGCCACCAGGGCCAGGAGGGCGGCGGCCACGAACAGCTTCATCCTGAGGTGTTCTCGCTTAACTTGCGGTCAAACGAAGACGCTGCTAGCCCCTTCGACATCAGTTTATATACGGCGGTAAATTGGTGGATCACGCGTTGGCGTGTGGTCTATCAAGTGTTCGCTATTATGGTATTATGTGTGGTTAGACATGTGGTGGCCATCACACAGTTCTTTGTGAAATTTGACAAGTGTGTGACAAGTGTTATGTGATTATGCGGGGGCGCGTTGTATCGTTTGATACATTTGTGTGCGAATATGACTAACTTCAAGCTTATAGTACCAGTGTACATAAGCATTACATACTCATTACCTAGATACCTATGGATTTTAGCTAGGTGAAATCACATCACTAGTCACTTCTGAACTTTATCCGTAGTTGACATAACTACAATCCACTTAAATAAACATCATGTCAACTTCTTTTGAAACCTTACATGCCCTTCATGGTTTCACTAGCATATGTGCACCACTTACTACAATATCCCGCGTCCCGCTTGGGCTGGCACGCTCCCGTTGTTCACTAATATGTTCTAGAGGCGTCGAGCCAGCGATGTCAAACTTTCAAATACCTACCTTATTATACATCAAGTTGACATGTTCCCTGAAAATTTGAACTGTATGCGGCAGAGTTCTTCTTTTTAACCCGCGCTGGGCCCGGGGGGGGGGGAGTTTCAACACTCCTTCCGGTTTTTCGGAGATATCGCGCCGCCGTCGTTTTTTGCACACCGTTTTTGCATACCTGTTCATGCATCTCTTCTGCACATGTTGTGAAAATTCCAGACCCAGGTCTCTTAACCCGGCAGTTGCTGGGGTATTTCGCCACCCACCGTTTGCTGGGGGGGGGGGGCGTTAAACGCCCCCAGCCGATAACTCGAGAACCAATAGGCGCAGCGAAACGCGCGAGGCGGCAAACGAAAGAGCGCGACGAGACGCTTCAGATGAGTACTTTAAATTGAATTTTGAGGTCACAGGTCGGGTCAAGGTCAGGTCAAACACCTGAAATCGGGCTTTCAGTAGCATGGACTTCAGGACTTCGCAATGGGCGCCTCTCGCCATAAACTCTGTCAAAACGGTGCACAATCCATCTTATAAGGCCTACAAGAGTGTCAGCTTCATATAGGGGTCAGTCAAGCATAGGTCAGGGTCAAGGTCAGGTCAACCGGGTAGGCACATATCCCCGAAAATCAAAACTGATATTCGCAGCCTGTGACACATGTTTTATAGGTAATTTGGGGCGTAGAACACGATGGTGACATTCATTTTATCATATGTGTAAGTGTTTGGCTAAAAAAGTTCAATTTAAGAAATTCATGTATCATGGTCGTGAAGTAGTCACGAAAAATTGCCAAGATTCAGTTCAAGATTTTGGAAAATGCGGAACAATAATCAATAATCAAAGATAGCCATTTGATTGATCATGGTATTGGCAGTCTAATGGCATTTACGGCATGTCTGTATGTCTATTCTGTGATTTTATATGATTTTTTGAACATATGCCGTTTTTGGTCGAAAACTCAGAAATCATGACGTCACTAAAACCTCGATATCTCAAAAATTTTCCGTCCGATTTTTTTGAAACTTTGTCACAATAAATTTCAATCAATTTCCTACAGGTACCCAAAATTTGGCGCGCCTGCGGCGCGCCGTTTTTATGCTATGGCCCGGCAAAAAAAGTGGGGGCGTTTAACGCCCCCCCGGCAACTCGCGGGTTAAGGTCAGGTCACCAGGTCACGTCAAGTGACCTCACCTCAGAAAAAGCTAGAATCCTCTTCATAGCTACACCGACTGAAGGATCACCTCGAAACTTACAGCGATTGATAAGATTAACAATAAAAGCAAAATACTTATCTCGGAATTTTAATATCGGTGAACTATGGTCTAGTCAATTTTGCGACCTCTTCTTTATAAGTCCATGGGATACAATTTAAAAGTACCTTTTTTGGACGGACTCCAAACACTCTCAAACATCGGATTACAGGTAACTTCGACAAGCTGAACCGAGAATGGCACCCATGGCCTCTTTATACGTTTTTGAGGTCATATCAGGTCATGAAAAGTCCCCAACATTTTCTTGACAATCACTTTTGCTAGAGACATGCTAGAGCGACGAAAACACATCAGGTGTTTCAGCTCGACGATATTTCCGGTCAGGTCATGTCCTTTGTCCTTGACTTGAAGTCAAATTTTCAAAATGACCTTTTAAGGTCAAAGTATAGTTTGACGCGTATCATCGAGAGGAACACGATGCAGGCAAAACTAATGTCGACTTCCTTGAGTCAAACGTTATTGCAGAAAAACATTTTTTTCATAAAAACAGCAATTTTTGGAGTTTTTGCCCTCTGGGGGCTAAACCGTTGACCTGAGGTCAAATCTGAGGAAATGCTCGCGAAAGAGCGTTGCAAGAGCTATGGAATGCGCTTTTTCGCGGAGCTGTAGCTCTATTGGTTACCGAGTTATGCGTTGGTTTTTCGAAAATGTTGAAATAGGCAAATTTTGAGCTTTGATGACCTCTCGGGCTCTGGCGGCCTGACCTTTGATCGACCAAAAAATGACAGAAGTGTTTTCTTCATTATTTTTGACGCTCTTTCGAATGCTTCTTGGCCCAGGAGCCGAGTTAGACGGGGGAAAGGGTGTTCAGACATCCCCGGCCAGGCCCGGTTGGCGCCCGAGCACCGGCCCGGCGCGGGTTAAATGACGTCATGTCAAACAGTTTTTATTAAAAAGCTTCAAAACTTCAAACACCTCTAACATCTTCAGTTTTTACGGAATCAAGACGCAACAAAAAAACAAGTAGGTTCCCATACCTACGTGATTTAACTTTGCGTTTCAATTGCCATTCTCAGTTTTTGAAACTTTTGGACTTTGATCCACAAAAAAACTGATTCTTAATCCTTATAAAATCCAAAAGCTTAAGAAAGAATAACAGAAGTTAAGTATGTTAGAGAAGTACGGTGTGTGCACCTACATTCCAATTTACATCGAATCGGTTAAAAACTCTAGGAGTTGTTCAAATTTTCTAAATGTCAGGGAGCACACAGTTTGAAAACGATAATTATTTGGGAGTTCTAGAGACATTGGGAGAGCTCCCATCCCTTCACCCTCCCCGCTTTCATCCCTCTCCTACCAAGTAAAGACTAATGGGATAAATATGCCCAGCGGTACAATTATCAAATTAACATCCGAAGATTGCCAACACTTGCCTCCACAAATGTTTGAACAATTACGTGAGTCAAACCACTGTCGAATTGCGGTCAAGTAGCAATGACCAATTACCTGACCTAACGCAAGTGTCCGCAAGTGCAGTTTGAGTATAAAACAGACACAAACCGTCGGTCCGTCACAGACAGCCTGCAGTAGTGGGTCTGTTGTCTCTGCCCTCCCACCAGATCCTGAACATGAAGCTGCTGGTGGTCGCCGCCTGCGTGGCGGCCGTGGCCGTGGCCGTGCCGCTCGACTCCCGGGTCGAGGACCAGGACGAGCTGGAGATGCACGAGATGAACGCGCCCACCTACCAGGAGGTGCAGCAGAAGATGGGCCTCGGCGACGGCGCCTCCCTCTCCCGCTCCGGTAAGGTGCTGGACTCGGTGTTCTGGAAGGAGATCGCCCAGGACATCCTGAGGACCAAGCTGGCCGATCCCGTGTACGATCATCAGGCCAAGAACGCCGTGCTCTTCATCGGAGATGGGATGTCTATCGCAACGCTGGCCGCCGCCAGGAAGCGCAAGGGTCTCCTTAGTGGTGCTGACGTGCCCGAGCACACCATGCTCTCCTGGGAGACCTTCCCCTACCTGGGACTGTCCAAGACGTACAACTGCGACCGCTGGACGGCCGACTCCGCCTCCACGGCCACCGCCTACCTAACCGGCGCCAAGGGCAACTTCCTCACGGTCGGTGTCGACTGCTCCGTCCTCATCTGGAACTGTGATGCCGTCAACGAGGCCTCCTCGCCCAAGTCGATCCTCCGCTACGGAGTGGAGGCCGGTAAGTGGGTCGGTCTGGTGTCCACCGCCCGTATCACGCACGCCTCTCCCGCTGCCACCTTCGGACACACTGCCTACCGTACCTGGGAGTCGGACGCCGACTTCGTCGCCATGGAATGGATGACTGGACCCGTCAAGGACTCGTGCAAGAACGACATGAAGGACCTGTCCACCCAGTTCGTCGAGCGTGAGGGTATCGACATCAACGTCGCCTTCGGTGGCGGCTGGGGCAAGTTCACGCCGAAGGAGGTCGAGGGTGGCTCCCGTCTGGACGGTCGTGACCTGATCCAGGAGTGGAAGGACAAGCAGGCCTCCCTGGGACGCAGCTACGCCTACCTGACCACCAAGGACGAGCTGAACAACTTCGACGCCACCTCTGCCGATTACGTGCTGGGTCTGTTCAGTCGCAGCCACATGCAGTACCGCGCCTTCCAGACCCCCGACGACGTCAACCTGACCGAGATGGTGAAGAAGGCTCTGGAGATCCTGAAGCGCGGACCGAACGGCTTTGTACTGTTCGTGGAGGGCGCCAAGATCGACCACGGCCACCACTACGGTAACGCGTACACGGCCATTGACGAGACCATCGAGCTGGAGGAGGTCGTTCAGCACGTCATGGACAACACTGACGAGTCGGAGACGCTGATCGTGGTCTCCTCGGACCACTCGCACACATTCGGTATCAACGGCTACCCGGAGCGCGGCCTGGACATGTTCGGCCCGTCCTCCTTCCTGGCTGGCGGCATGCAGAAGGGAGGCCCGCCGCCCAAGCTGCCGTACCCCATCATGCAGTACGCCAACGGTCCGGGAGGCACCGAGGACTGGGCTGAGTTCGAGGCCAAGCGCGCTCGTCTGACCGACATGAGCGAGACGGCCGAGTGGCGCGACCCGCACTACAAGCAGATCGCCGGCATCTACCTGCCCAAGGAGACCCACGGAGGAGAAGATGTGGGTATCTTCGCGCGCGGCCCGGGCGCCCACCTCCTGCGTGGCAGTCTGGAGGAGAATGTCATCCACCACGTCATCAACTACGCCCTCTGCCAGGGAGACTTCGCCACTGTCTGCGACAAGAAATAATCACGTACACTGCCTCATGCCTACTCGATTCTGATGATGCTCTTTGTATCAAACACGCACCCTTATTTTGTTTTCATTTTAGTAGAAGTAGTGTCCGTTAGATATCCCTTGGCGTAGCATTGCTCTGTAGCTTTGTGACTAAAATGCATCTTTTGTTGTTGCCACCGTTTGTCTCGCAAGCCAAGTGCGGTTCGGAACACATGAAATAAACCTTGCCTTGAGTTCACCTCGTTTGGAATGACGACGTGTTATCAAGGTTCCATTTATTAGGTATATCGCGTCACAAGTTGTGTGCCGATATGAAAGAGAAATTAGCCGATTCTGCCAGCGCCGTCAAGAACCACTCGCAATGGTATTCGCTCTCACGACACACGGCCTCACAAGTCACAGTTCACACAAATGTCAATGTGCCTTAGATAGGCCTCCATGCTATATAAGTAGGTATATAGCCAGCTGCGGTGATCTCTGACGTCAGCCGTTTCACTTATGACGTCACTCATGACGTCGCAAAATGACTTCTTTGTGATGGTCAATAAATGGTAGGTAGGCTAACTCTTGATGCCACCGAGGAAGAGCAAGGAGGTCTTGTCTTTGGTCATCTTTGGATTCCAATTTTTGTCCGTAATTCATACGATGATGAAAAAAGCACTGGTTTTTGTTTTGTTGGAAGTAAGCTTTTTGGGCTTGAAAATACCTGGGCCAACACCACCACACCACTGCCAACGGTGATAAGATGGGGCGTAGGCCGTAGACATTGCGCTGTGCGGGACACCGACAGTGAGCCACGGAGGCAAGACCGTCCCGATGGGACCGGATTGCCCCGTTGGGCAGTCCGCCCGCCTCCCAAACGGTCACCCCGGAGAGGGTTTACCTTTTACTGGGGTGGCAATGGTGGCAGTGTGAGCCCGACCTCACCGTCCGTCAGTTGGGGTGGCCCGCGGCCCCGCAGCCCTGGGCAGCCCGGACTGGGAGCGTGAGGGGGGGGGGGGTGCGGATGGGTTTGTCCCGAGGATGGTGAGGACAGATGACGAACACTGGAAAACTCAGTCCTTCACACTAAACACTCCAGCCCTGTCATTTTGGTTTCCAACTCGTGAGACGTTTTCGGTGGATTGGCTTACATCTTTCTACACAATCAAGTTTTTATTCGTTCAAATAGAGTCTTATTGACAGATGTGTCGCTACCACCTCCCGGATTCAAACATCATCACTTACTTGTTCCCCGTTTTTCAGCAGTTCGCCGGTGCTGCGCAGGATGTTTCGCTCGCCGACCGTACAGCGCTGGTACATCCGGCCGCTCCCGGCAGATGGCACTGAGAGCGCTCAGCTACCCAACACCATCATCCTGAAGCGCGTCTCTGCCACCGAGTCCGGCCCGCTGCTGCTGCCGCTGGCTCACGGCTCAGCTCAGCTCGGCGTGGCTCAGCCCTCGGCTCAGCTCGTGGCTCAGCGGTCAGATCAGCTCCCTGTGCAGCTGAGTCGTTCCGACACAGCCAGCGCGACACCAGCGCCCCTGGCGGTGAACCGGCAAGGCAGGCGGCCGGCGCAGCGGCCCTGGAGCCTGCTGGCGTCCCGCCGGCGGCAGTCAGGCGCCACCTGGGTGTACCCCTCAGCGGAGCCGTCGCTGGCGCCCGCAGGACACTGGGAGGGGCCCTCCGCCCAGTCGGATTTCTTCTTCGAGCCGTTTTACGAGCGGTCTGACCGAGCTGCGAGCCGCGCGAGGAAGACCCCGCCCCGCCGACGGGCGCCGGCCGCGCGCAGGTACCAGAAACCCGCCGCGTCTCACTTCGCGCACCACCGCCGGGCGTCCCACTCCGGTCCCCACACCAGCGTCAGTGTGGGTACCTCCGTGCTCTACCCGGGAACGGTGATCTCTGACGTCAGCCGGAGCACAGATGACGTCATTTATGACGCCGCGGTGGACCCGCAGCAGTCTGCCAGCAGGATGACGCCTGGCGTGGGATTCCGACTGCCGCCAAACAGCGTGGAGTACGGGGGATGGAAGCCGGTGTCGGCGTGAGTCTGAACTCGTGGTGTCGCATTTAAATGGGTGGTGATGTGTTCGAGCTCAGGGTAAATTCAGTAAACATTGGACGGGGGGAGGCGAGTGAATGTCAGATATCAGACTTTATCTGCGATACGCAACATACGCGTATCGCGTATGTTGCGTACGATACGCACCTGTGGATGACTGTAGTCTCAGTGCAGCATATGTTTGAGCCGCCGATAGCGCGTTAGTTCGCTCGGGCCAGTGATCTGTCTGAATTAGCTGTTTTAGGATATGCTCAAAGTGCGGCAACTCCAGGTGAAAGCCCGTGAGATCCAGCCGTGAGTTAGGCGGTGATGACAGGAATTTTACACACCTCACGCCCGAGTTAAACCGCTGAACGATTGACGATGGCGAGTTGTGTTGTGGGTTTCACAGTGACGCAGCTGAAACGAACAAAATGGGACGCGCATTCACGATTGATTGACCCGCGTAACACTAACGGTTTGAAGTCAGTTTTGAGAAAGAAAGAGGACAGCTTTTTGTTTTGCTGTTGATTCTGTCAGAGTCACAAAGTGTTATCGCTTGTCTGTACAGCACAGCGCTCGTTGCCAATACATGTTTTAAACCCCCAGCCGGTCGTATCGAATCCTAACGTTCGCAGACGCACCCTCCGCTAGCAGCAGCCGTTCCCTCCGTCCAACGGCCCTCCATAGTTCCCTCTGTACAGTCACACCCCCGTTCCCTCAGTCACACAGCCCTCGGTACAGTCACACCCTTCCCTCAGTCACACAGCCCTCTGTACAGTCATGGCCCGGTTCTGACATCACACACACCTCAGTACAGTCACGCCCCGTGTATTTCAGCGCCTGGCTACGATACAGTCTGATTGAAAAGACGCGCCACCGGCCGGCGCCGGCGGCAGCTCGGTCCGCGCGCTCACACAGCGAACACCACCGTTCTCCGGCCGAGCTCGGCAGCAGCTGGCTCCAAACGGAGAGCAGCCTCAGCTCCCGAGACGACAGCAGCGGCGAGTGCATGCGCGCGACACACGCAAAGGCGCATGAAAAGGTGCATGACAATAGAGAGAAGGCCATCTGGACCGGTGCGTCGGTGGCGGCGCCGCCCGACGCGTCGGCTCCGACTGCCCGAGTCGCGCGGCGTGTGACCACACCTCGAGGGCACACCCGAGCGCGGCACACAAATCAACACAGAGTCCTTATCAAAAATAACTCCGCCTATTCGCTACGGTGGTGAGAGGACGCTGCAAGGTCACGGCTAGCACAGAGCCTCTGTACAGAAGAGACACACACACAGACGAGCGCGTTGCCACGCGGCGACTGCACACAGGATAGAGGACAAACTCGAGAGAAATGGTTGTACACTGTGACATCCACACGCGCGCGAACCACACCTCACACGAACGGGCTTCTCTACACGAACGACACGCTCGCTCCCACGCCAAACGTGCACAGCTAGTCGGCTATGTTTGGGCCAGTGGGCGGCGTGCCGAACCGGACCCGGTGCGGGGACTCGGTCCGACCGTCGGCGCCACTCTGCCTGCCGCTACACGTACAAAACCGAGACGGAGACGGCCCACGAGACAGAGAGACAATACCCATGGAATTAGACCGCGCCGCGCCGGGCCGGGCCGGGTCGGGAGGGGCTGTCGCTGGGTGGATGCTCGGTCACAGGTAGGCTGAACAGATGTCTAACGTTCAGCGGGGTCTACATCGACTGGTGGCGCCAGAGCAACGTTGCTCCGGCTTTTGCCAAGCTTCGCAGTCACGAACCCGCGACGCAGTGGTGGCGTCATAGCTATTCTCAGGCGACAATGCAACACCAAACCATCTCCAGACGAATCTTCCCTACCCCATGCTCCTCCACCCTATCCACAACTTTGGCCCACCTGGCTCATTTTCCCACCTCTCCAACTCAGAGCCGCCCGTTCTCACCACCGACCCGACCCGGCCCTGCCGGCCACGCACAAACACTGCCATTTAGAGCGGCGACACTTTCTCACTCTGGCTCTCTCACCCTCTCTCACACAAGCGACACGCGCTCACATACAGGCGAGCGGGTGCGAACCTAGGAGGTATCTTAACGTACAAAACGGCTCTTCGTCGTATTTACAATTGGGCGACGAGCTTGTGTAGCGTCGCCGCCCCTCAGCTAGCTATCTACACAGTTTTCAGACATCTCTCTCCGCCCCTCTCTCCCCCGTCTCTCCAGTGCTCTGTCCCGCAGCTTCCTTCCCATCTGAATAGACCGCGCGACACGCCAGCCGCCACACCGCTCCGCCGCGTGTTCTCAGTGTGTTCTCTGAGTGTTCTCTGAGTGCTCTGTGTTCCGTGAACGTTTACGTGAATGCGAGGTGTGTGTAATGTGTGGTTAGAGTGGGGTGGACGTCTGTGATGGCACTGTCCAGCAGTGATGCTTTTCACAGTAAAATCCTGTGCAGATATGGTGTATGCGTGTCTGTCTGTCTCTTTATCTGTCTGCCTGTTTTTCTGTGTCGCCGCTAAATAGTGCATCCAAGTCGTGATTATCCGTCTCGAAAGCCACAGAGGGACCCCTTCTAAAGGTCTGTATATCTATCACTGTAACTATCCTATATCACTCAGCCCGTCTTACCCCAATTAGACCGTCAACTCCCTGTGTCTACCCCCGTGTGTCTGTGTTACCTGTGTGTGGGTGCGGATAGGTGCGTGTCTCGTGCGCCACGTGTCGTTCCACGGCGGCGGCGCCACGTGGCGGGCGTGTCGTGCGGCCGGCCCCTCGTGGAGATCGCGCGGCCGCCGAGGTTGTGCCGGTCTGCGGCAGACCGCGGCGGCGGGCGGCGGCACCCCGGCTGTCGACCCCCGGCCCGCTAACCGTCCGCCTGGGGCGGCGTGAACCAGCCTGGGGAGCACAGAGGGAGGGGTCAGGGGTGCTGGTCTCGGGCCGCTACCTCTGGGGCGGCGTGAACCAGCCTGGGGAGCACACAGACAGCGGTCAGAGGTGCCGGTCTCGGGCCGCGGGCCGCTAACCGTCCGCCTGGGGCGGCGTGAACCAGCCTGGGGAACACAAAGGGTCAGAGGTCAAACTGAGAGCATAGACCGCGCAGTGCAGGTAGCTGGTTGGCGCTATCAAAGAAATAGTGGGAAGGGTTTCTTCACATACCAGCGCAACCGCACATTGCTACGCCCTAAATATGACAATGCTTTTGAGCGATAGCAGACTGAGAGAATAGCTGATCTCAACGGAAATTCACCAGAGTTGCAACGCTACAATAGGTTTTTATCAGAATTTCTAGCATGTAACTTAGATATGTATATGTAAATAGACACGGAACTACATAAGCGGTGAGTAAAATATATTATGAATGGTATGAATTATCATGGCAAGTAGTTTCGCGTAGGATATACATATAGCAGTCATGCTGTGTTAGCTTAGCTAAACATCACATAAGCGCATGATCAAATTTAGAGAAGCTACCAGGGAAAGTTCACAGAATCTGTTCGTCCCTTCACAAAATAATGCAACCTTATTTCCCGCGAACAGACCCGCGCAAACCACTCACCGTTCTTCTCATGGATCTGCACCAGCGACTTGAAAGACTGCTTGGCTCGCGATAGGCTGTATTGGCCCTGTGAACAACAGTTGAGTGTCAGACAGTGGCAGAGACGGGGCGAAAGACGCCTCGGAGAGGGCAGCATTATCTACCCTGGCCGATCTTTGGGAACAAAGGTCAGGCCTAACTATACCCAGTACAGAAAAGTGCAGCACGTTGCACAGAACAGCGCTGAGGAAGCCAAGCGTTGCTTGTCCTGTGCTATTCTGCATAGTGGGGGAGGTTGGGATAGTTTCTACACACCTTTCTGACCGTCAACAGAGTGTCCTCAGCTGATGTGAATAGGCGGTAAGTAGGCGCAATCGGGCGCCCGCAACGCACTTGTCATCAACACGCTAGTGAGTGCAGTTACACTGTAGAGCGCAATTATGTGGTAACAGCTTTGCAATGGAACCAGCAGCAACATAATGGGTAAAGTCATCGGAACGAATCACACGCAACACAGAACAGCGCGATAGGCAAGAAACATAATAAATCATATGTGAGCGACTTCTGACGTTAAGGAAAATTGCATTTCTTGAACGGCGATGTGGGTAGCTCATCAGGATGAACAGTCTCAGCGCCGTCAGGCATCAATGAATGTGCTGCGAACCGAGCAACATGGATTGTTTATTTCATATAAGCTATCTCTTTACCAGATTCCTTTCCGGCCAGCTCGTGTAACATCATTGGACCGGACATTCATTATAATTTATGCCACCAGTGACCAGATCCCAGCATTATAAGTAACATAAACTTTTGAATGATCCTTTTCCACACTACAAACTTATCCACCAGAGCATTTATTTCTGTCAAACCAGACTAACCGATGCGACTGTGACTGGTACACTATCATTCCTGCAAGCCTAATCAATATCAAAGCGCCTGATTACTCGTATCAGAGTTCACATTTAAACGCACACCGTTATTTAAACTCTCCAATCAGCCCGGCTCGTGACGCATGCCTGTTATTTTGTGTGACAGCTATTTGCACGGTTACTCGGATCACGGTTCACAATGAAAAGTGAAAGCCCACCGTTACTTGCGCTCTCCAATCACCTCAGCTTGTGAATCGTTCTTTTGTATGGCAGCTGAGTTTGTAAGGCATCCTCTTTCACTCCATTTCCATATAGACGCCCATCCTTATCTACTCTACTCTACTCTACTCTAACTCTACTCTTCTCTTTTCCACTTTATTCTAGTTTATTCTACTCTACTCTACTCCCCACCGTACTCTACTCTAGTCTCTACCAACCACTATAACCCTAGTTCCTACCATCCATCCCATCCATCCCAGCCATCCCTCTATTCGCTCCTCCCCACCCTACTTGCTGACCCGGTAGGGCCCCTAGTTGATGCGGGTACTCAGTACTCACCCTGGTTGATGCGGGGCACTCAGTACTCACCCTGGTTGATGCGGGGCACTCAGTACTCACCCTGGTTGATGCGGGACACTCAGTACTCACCCTGGTTGATGCGGGCACTCAATACTCGCCCTGGTTGATGCGGGGCACTCAGTACTCACACTGGTTGATGCGGGACACTCAGTACTCACCCTGGTTGATGCGGGCACTCAATACTCGCCCTGGTTGATGCGGGGCACTCAGTACTCGCCCTGGTTGATGCGGGGCTCTCAGCGGTGCCCTGGTTGATGCGAGGACTCAGTACTCGCCCTGGTTGATACGGGGACACCCAGTACTCACCCGGTAGGCGCCCTGGTTGATGCGCGCCTTGCCCTTGACCAGTGTGGCCGTAATCTGCATGATGATGGCCTCCACCGTGTAGGCGGACGTCCAGCCCTGCTTGGTGAGCAGCTCCATACACAGCGCGCCGCCCAGCAGCACGTAACCGTTCTGCATCACTGGGTAGACCACGCGCACGAACGGCGGCTCGAACGGATAGTTGTCCTGAGGGTGTGGAGGGAAACCGTCAGAACTCAGAAATGGTTTGTTCTAGCGAGGGTTAGAACGGAAGGTACAGTCTTAGATGGCGTGGGAATGATCGGAGGTGGATAAGGACGAGCAGAAGGGATAGGATGACAT